TATTTGTCCGGGGTTTCCTATCAGACAACCCTTCTATTGTAGTCCACCTTCCTGTACTTTTTTTCCTCTCTGATACGGCCACGGCGGGCCCCGTGCCATTTCCAAAGAAGTGCAGAGGACCGTGGCCCGTGGCTCTCGCTAACGCAGCGAGGCAGATGGAGGGATTCTCCGGGGAATAACCAGGGCCACGCTGGGATGCGGGTTACAGACAGCCCTTCGGCTTCCCCTGCTTCCAGCTCGCCAAAAGCATCGCCGGAGCAACTCACTCTGCTGCCTCACCTCAAGGGATGCGCTCCCTCCTTGCCAAGCACAAAGCAGCCTCGGCAGTGTTCACCCGGCACAGGGTTAAAAAAAAATAATCACACGTTAATTGTGCAAACTCCACACAGAGGCGAGCGAAGTCACAGCTGAGCACACTGCGGGGCAGACTGCCTGCCCGAAGGAGTCGCAGCCTAATTATTTCTTTCCTCTCCCTGCGCCTCAATGTCACCTTCCTTTTAGCTGGCGGGCGAGTGCCGGCTGCAGCCCCGTGCACATCCCGGAGCGCAGATGTGGCCTCTCTTCCTCTGCTTCCCGTTGGGGCGCGATGGGGAAGGCTGCACAAAGCCAGGCAGCTGTTCTCCTGCGCCTGCTCCAGCTCCAGGCTAACAAAAGGGGGGTCTGGTGTCGGCGGGACTGGCTGGCAGAAGACGCCAGGCTTAGTTAGAGTCCAAAGGCACGGGGACTTCCATGCCCTCAGAGCTGACTCTGGCGGGGCCTGAGGTCAGGGAGAGCAGCCTCAGGACAAAAATCATCCTCCACGGACATGGGGGTAACCAGGAATGGTTCAGGGTGAGGCTGCCAGAGGAAAATTCCTTCTCATTTCCTCCCAGGGTGGGTTCACTGGGTGTGCACATGGGTGCCCCACACCTCCCGTTTCACATCACCCACCACAGCAGCACAGCTCCCATCCTTAACCGGAGTCAGCCCGGCCTCCTGTCACCAATCTACAAGGTAACGAGGGCTCTGGCAACCTCGTTACTCAAGGAACTTAATCACTTTTTAGCTTAAGACAAGCCCTCAGCACCACTGGCATCCTGCGGGAGGGAGTTCCAGGGGTTTGCCCTGCAAAAAAAGCAATGCTGCCTTTGCTCAATTGCATTTCTCATTTTCCTCTTCATTAAATAACCGTTTATTCAGGCACTGTGAAGAGGAAAATTAATCTTCTGCCAAACAATACTTCTTCCGAAGAGTCATCCTGAATCCTCCGTGAATTACCACCTTGCTGCTGCTCATTTACTCCATACCTAATGGCATTGTGGACATTTTTGCCCGGTTGCCCAATCAGTCTCTGCACAGACAGACCTTTCACTGTTAGGCACCCATGCGAGGGTGAGGCTATGGCACAAAACCAGCTTTTGCTGAACAGAGGGCACACGAGGGACAGCAACAGGAGGAAGGCTGTGACCACAAGGAGAGCTGCGGTCAGGCTCCACTCCTTCCCAGAGAGCCGAAAATCCAGCTGCAAGCCCATGGGAACCCACTCCATCAGCTCTGCCTCACCTCACCCCTTGCAGACGCATTTCTTGATGCCCCTGAGACCTTCAGTGCCGCACGAGGACCATGTCTTGTGCCCTCAGAAGGCAGAAACCCCTCTGAATTACTGACATCTCCCTGCTGTCTCCTTAACCCATGTGCAGCCCAGTGCCTTCCAGCTTCTGCCTCTCGCTGGCCCTGCGTGTGCGCCTGGGAGCCTCCAGCACCCGAGGCTTCTTCTCAGCAAGAAGCTGTCACCTTCTGGGACATTTTTTCTTTTAATACCTCAGTCGCCGATGACACACGACCGCACCTTTCGGGCCTTGTGTCGTCTGCCTCCTTTTCACTTCACAGTTCAGTCACCACAGGTTTCTAAAAACAACACGACACCTAATGCTTGGCCACAGACTAGTGTTTCACGTCAAGTTACCACAGGCTTAAGCCTCTTCTCACAACCACCATTGAAAATCTTCAACAACTTTGACTAAAAATGCAAATGAGGAGATAAAAAAAAAAAAGAAGAAAGAAAACACAGAAGCATCTGAAACCCATTTGTGCTTTATTGCTTCTTCCTCTAGCTGTAAAACCTTGTCTGTGGGGGTAAAAAAAAACACCATGCACCTATACTTTTGCAAATTCAGATTCAAACCAATGCAGCTTTTTCCCCAGAAGAAAAAAAAATCTCTTCCACGTCAAATGCATATTGTTAACGCCAGGCTACCAGCTAGCACGGGATCACACACACACACGCACAGCCCTGTGCGTGTACAGACACGCCACAAGAATTTTCCCGATAAAACTTTCGGTGAACCCAGTTCTTCTCTGCAGACAGTTGGGATTTTGACGAGCTGGCACTTCTTGCCGCAGAAGCGTTTAATCAGATCTTTCCTGACCAGTTCTGCAGCTGTGTGCCACTTGCTGTGTGCTCCTCTCCAGCGAGGAATCAGCCGAGCACGAGGAAAGCTACCGAAAAGCTCCCCAATGCTTCCCAGACAGAAATCGGAGCTTCTCATGAGCAACAGCAAAAATGTGCCCATTCTGAAAAAAGACAGCAGTGCAGTTGGAGCGGCTTTCATGTGAAAGACCCAAATAATTTGCCAAATCATGTAAATTAATTTCCAGTGTCAAAGGCTGCTTTTTTTCTTCCTGTAAAGTTTGCAGCTTCCCTGCATTTCAGTAGTGCCTCCTTATTTTCAGCCTTTGGCAGCTCTGCAAAGCTTTAGACATTTTCACAGACCAGTAAGAACCATTATCTACGAAGTGAGTGTGTAAAGGGTTCCTAAAATCTATGAAAGGACTTCTGAAACTCTTTGCTAGTAATCTTCAGAGGTTTTTCCCTGTTTCATTCACAGCCTGGAGAAGATTTCACGGGATGAGAGCGAGTTGAAGCGCACAGCCGGTGTGCACCAAAGCAAAAGCGCTGTAAATTGCCCCCGCTAGCCTTCCACAAGTGTTTGAGCAAATCTAACCCTGATAACCCTCGGTGCCCTGCTCAGCACACACCACGCCTTGAAGCACACGAGCAGACCACCTACGTAACCACCACAACCAAAGCCGAGAGCGAAAAGCGACTCCCTGGGAGGCTCCGACATGCTCTGGCTGCCTCCGAGGGGTTTCGCTGCTGAGGGCACACGTTCAGGCACGAGGGGGATGTCTCTGCCGTGGCATCCTGCGCCTCCAGAAGTGGTTAGCACACAACATGATGAGAAACACGGCCTCTGCTGGGACATCTTCCACAGGAGGAACCCAGAATTGCCGACCAGCCCCAGGCTGACCCACGCTCCCCTCTCCTTGCTGTTTTTCCTCCTGTGCCCAGGCAAAAAGGCCCAAATGGCTGGAGCAGGAGGTGAGGGCTGCAGCACAGCATGGGGAATTATGGCAATGGGTTTTTATTTTTTTAGTGGCAGCATGATGACTACAGCAAGGGAAGGCAGAAACGAGTCCTGAAAAAAGAGAAGCTTTGGCAGCTGGGCAGGGGGAAGGCAGGAGCTTGGAGGAGCATGAAGCACAGGTGGAAATCACAGGCTGATCATGGGGCCCTGCGGAGCACGAGGTCTTTGTGGGACAGGGACAGACCTAACTGGCTCAGCATCTCCTTGGGGAAGCCCCTGCTCAGTGCAGGACTCATTTGCTCATTTGTCACGGCACGTTTGCCGGCGTGGGAAAGGAGCCGTGCAAGGCGCAGCGAGGACCAAGGCAGGCCCTAAAGCCACCCCGCGTTGCACCACACCTGACAAGCCGCCTTTTCCCAGGCGTGGGGCTGGCCAGGGCAGGAGGCAGCTTTCTTCCCTTGCTCCACAAGCTGCAGAAACCAGTTTTACATGCGTCGCGGCCTCCCCACCCCACAGTCATGAGTAAGCGTGCTGCGGTTGCAAAAGCGACCTCCCCGGTTCCCATGCTGAAGAGGCATCTCTGCAAATGGGTTCGGAGCCTGCCCCGTAAGCAAAGCAGCGCTGCCTTTGCTAGGGGGGCTGGACCGCGGCCACGTTAGGAAGGAGCAGGTAGGGGCATGCCCTTTGGTCAACGGGGCCAAGATTTGGGGGATTGCTGCTGCCTCTAGAGCCACCATCAGGGCCAAGATTTGGGGGATTGCTGCTGCCTCATGAACCACCATGAGGACCAAGATCTGGGGGATTGCTGCCTCCTCAAGACCCACTGTTGTGGCCAAGATTTGGGGGACTGCTGGGACTCCTCAAGAGTCCCACAGGGGCCAAGATTTGGGGGATTGCTGCTGCTTCAAGAGCCACCATGAGGACCAAGATCTGGGGGATTGCTGCTTCCTCAAGACCCACCACTGTGGCCAAGATTTGGGGGATTGCTGCTGCCTCAGGAACCACCATTGCAGCCAAGATTTGGGGGATTGGTGCTGCCTCTAATGCCACCATGAGGGCCAAGATCTGGGGGATTGCTGCCTCCTCAAGACTCACCACTGGGGCAAAGATTTGGGGGACTGCTGCTGCCTCCTCAAGAGCCCCACTGGGGCCAAGATTTGGGGGACTGCTGCTGCCTCTTCAAGAGCTACCATTAGATCCATGATTTGAGGGACTGCTGCTGCTTCAAGAGCTACCATCGGGGCCAAGATTTGGGGGAATGATGCTGCCTCAGGACCCACCATTGTGGCCAAGATTTGGGGGATTGCTGCTGCTTCAAGAGCAACCATCGGGACCAAGATCTAGGGGGTTTGCTGCTGCCTATCCCATGGGACTGATGTTCCTCCTCTGCCAGCTTTTCCAAGCCCAGGGCTACCAGTACCCATAGCGGGGAGCCCCACGGTGAAGAGAGTGGTGCTGAGGGAACAGCGAGGGGCTGGGGATGGAGGAACCCCAGGAGCTGCCCCCGGTGCTCCCCCAACCCCATAACACAGCAGCACCGCGAGCCACCCTCCCACCTCCCCACCAGCCCAGGGCTGAGGGGCTGCCACCACCCAACCCCCCCAGCACCCTCCCTTCCCAAACCCACATCAGAACTGAAGGAGAAGGGGACCCCAAAACCCCTCAGGGCCCCGGGGGCCGGGCTACCGCCATGACGGGGCGGAGCGGGGCCGGGGCGGGCGCGCATGCGGTGCGGGGAGGGCGGCCGGGGCGCTCGGCGGCGGCGCCATCATGTCGATGGAGGACCCCTTCTTCGTGGTGAAGGGGTGAGCGGGGGGCAGGGGGGGCTGAGGGGGGCTGGGGGCACCCGTCTGGGGCTTGGGGGGCGAGATCGGGGCCGGGGGGGGTGAGGGAAGGAGCGAGGGTTGGGGTCTGGGGGGGCTGCGAGGTGTAAGGCGAGGGGTGGGGGGGAGAGGGGTTTGGGGTGGGGGAGTGAGGGGTTTGGGGTTTTGGGGAAGAGGGTTTGGGGTTTTGGGGGGCTGCGAGGAGGAGGAAGGGGGTGAGGGTGGCTGTGAGGGCTGGGGGGAGCGGGGGTTGGGGTTTGAGGGGAAATGAGGGGGAGGAAGGGGTGGGGGGGGTGGTGAGGGTTGGGGGGGTGTCAGGGTTTTGGCACTAAAATAAATATGTCCCAGACAAAACCCCTGACTGGGGGGCTGCGAGGGGAAAGGTGAGGGGGAGAAGAGGCTTGGGGGTGGGGTCTGGGTTGAGGAGAGTGAGGGTTAGGGCTGGGGGCTTGGCGAGGATGAGGACGGGACGTGGAAGGGAGGAAGGGCATCCAGCCCCACGCCCCCCCAGCTGTCACCCCAAAGCTTATCCCAGCCCCACAGGATGCCCCCCACACGATCCCAGCGCCCCCCCAGTGCCACCAGGGGGACAGGGCTGGAGGTGTGCGTGCTGCAGGTGCAGCTCCTGGCACGCCAGCGTGGTGGCCCAGCTCCCAGCCAGGTGGCAAGGGCTTGAGAAATGTCACCCAGCCGTGAGCAGCTCGCTTCCAGGTCACCCCAGCCCTGGGGGGTGTCCCCAAAAACAACAGAGCCCGCTGGCGGTGGGGAGGGAGAGAAACCAAGCAGAGGGAAGGCTGAACAAAGGCAGGCACAAAACAAAAGGCGGTGGATGGAGGCCGGAGGAAAGGAAAACCGTAAATAACAGGGTGAAAGCACCTCAGCCAGCGTCTAAAATTCAGCATGGAGCCACCTTCAGCTCGTGCCCTGCCAGCATCAGGCTGGCACGGTGCTCAGGGCAGAAGGGGAGAGGTAGGAACGGCCATACAAGCGTGAGAGGTGTGGGAAGGGCTGCTGGTGCGGCCAGCAAAAACAAATCACTACCAGGTCGAGCTGGTGCTGGGGGGAAAAAATAGGAATCGCCATGGGTGGGGAGCAAACGGGCTGTCAAACTTTCCAGAGAGATTCCCGCGCCGCAAGGGGAAGGGCTGGGAGGGGAGAGGGGACCTTCTGCTGCTCCCGGCGTTAATTATTAGCCAGCAGATTGGGGTGGAAGGGGTTGGTGGTGGCTGGGCCCAGCCACAGTGTGTTTGGTTTGCTCTCCTGGTGTTCATGACTCCTCCCATCAGGACATCCAGCTTTGCGTTGAATTCCTGCTCATAGGGACTTCCCCAAGTACGCTCAGGTGAAAAAAAAACAGCTTTTGCTAGCAAGTAGCGGAGGGAACAAAGCGTACCAGGTCCTTGATGCCAGCTGCTGACTTCAGGGCACTGGATGTGGCAGACTTGGAGCCACAGATGTGCGAGAAGAGGAGGAACACGTCGGGGTGCAGAGAGACTTCAGCTTAGGCAACAAAACTGAGTGCTTCAGGCCATGGTGCAAGGTAGAGAGAGCTGCAGTCCTCATACCTCTGCACAGGCTGCAGCGAGCAAACATGATTCATCCACTCTGGGCTTCCCCACACGGATAAACTCCTTTGCTGGGGATAAACACCTGCATCTTACCTGGATGCTGTGTGCGAGCTCTTGGGCTGGTGGCCACCTTTCCATGGGCTGTCACAGCAGCAGATTCGCCTGTATCCCTCATCCAGGCTCCCCCTGTACCTATAAACTGCAGTGTTAGGTACAGATAATGGCACGTACGGATGGTTACCTGCTGCTCGCCCCACACCACGAATGTTCAGTGCTGTCAGCAGAGCCGGCGTTCCCATGCCGTGAACGCGCTCGTCTCCAAAAAGCTTAGAGCAGCAGAAAAGACTTCTGTTCCCCAAGCCAGCCTACTAGAGCTGTGTATTTTTTTAATGCTAAATTAAAATAAACAGTGCTGCACTCAACAGCCTGCCCGGCTCTATTGTGGGGACGGGTTCCTGTAATTTTGTTTGCCCTTGGGGTATCCTGCTCAGGTAGTCAACAGTCTTTAGAGGAAAGCTGTTGAGAGGAATGCAGAATACTAATTGCCGAGGAGCAGCCTCGTTCAGACGCTCACACTGCCCTGTCTCGCCTTCACCACACTCAGCAGAAAGTGCCCCTAAAGAAATTGGTCATTTCATTAATTGTGGGAGCTGACCTGGAAGTTGTTAGCGCTCATCGTTCCGTACTTCAGCAGGAGGCCAGGTTGTCCTGTGGGTAAATCCTTATCTTACAAAATCAACTAGAGATGGTTGAAGGAAGGATGTCCAGGAGGAGGCTGCGCTTCCAAACTCTTTTGGATGTGGTGCTGCCCCAGCGTGCCTGCTGATTGTAATCCCTTCACTTCTCTTTTATCACCACGACTGCAGGGAGGTGCAGAAAGCTGTGAACACCGCCCAGGGGCTCTTCCAGAGGTGGACAGAGCTCTTGCAAGATCCCTCCATCGCCACGCGAGAAGAAATCGACTGGACCACTAATGAGCTCAGGAACAATCTGCGGAGCATCGAGTGGGACCTGGAAGACTTGGATGAAACAATTAATATCCTTTCCGTGGTCCTTTGGAGGTGGGGGCGTGCAATTCCTGGGTTGTAATGAACAGCTGAGTACCAGTGCTTTCTAGTTGTTACTTTTTGCAGGAATCAGGACTGTTTGGGATTGAATTTTGCACATTGCTCGGCTTTTCTCAAACAGCAAATGAGAAATGAAGGCAAATGTGTTCAGCAAAAGGATTTCCCCCAGCCTTTTTGTTTTCCTTTTGACAAGGTATATTATAAGGTGCTTTGTTCTAAAGAGCCTGTTGTGCGGTATGAATTCGGATTTCTGTGTAGTCAGTCATCCTCTAGGCTGGCTTCCAGAATTATTCCTTTTCCCTTGTGTTCAGCTGAACACTCCTGAAAGCGCTGCAGAGCACTGGAGAACCAAAAAAAAGCAAGAGAGAAACCTCATGCTGGTGCACGTACCATGCTGAACGTTGCTGCCGTGCCCTTTTTCCTCCAGTGGCTGGTATTTTGCTAATGAAATTTGGGGAAAAGGCGCAGCACGCTGGGAACGTGCTGCTTCGTAGACTCCCTCCAGGGCAGTCGGTGTGTGTGTGTGCTCTGAACACCGCTGACGGGGACTCCTTGACTCGCTCCCTACGCATCGTCGAGGCAAACCCTCGGAAATTCAACCTCGATGCCACGGAGCTGGGTGTGAGGAAAGCCTTCATCACGAGCACGCGGCAGGTGGTCAGGGTAAGGACCCGAGCACCCGGGATGGGAGCAGGGGGGTGATAAGGTGGTTAAAAGGAAGGGAAGCTGGTCTCGGTGCTGAACAGGGGAGGAGAACGAGCCTGCTACCTGCCTGCTCTCAGCCTTCCTCTTCCCCAGTGCTCCCCTCCAGGGGCTGCCTGAGCACGCTGCTGTTGTACCGATGGACCTGGAAGCCCACAGAAATCAGAAAGGAAGCCTCAAAACCCCTCTGCCTTGCAGGGGAGACTGCAGCCTCCCTTCGGAGGTAAAGGAAGTGGTGACTGTCCTGAGCTCCTGTCGCTGGTTTTCAAAACCAGAGAGTCCACTTTGAACACGGACAGCTGTTCAAAGCCTGGTGTTACTTACGTGGTGACTTCAGCTTCCTACTGCTGCAAAACAGTCAAAACAACCATTAGCTCTATTTTTAACTCGGGGAAGATGGTTTTTTTTTTAGTTTAAGCTCACTCTCGATACCAGAGGCAGGGCTGGCAAAGCTCTGCCCGCTGGGCAGCGGTTTCACGCAGCTCCGTGCTGGAGGCAGCACTGAAGAGAAGCTCAGCAGCACCTGCAGGAGCAGAGGTGTTGATTCACAGAGTGGTTAGGGAGGATTCAGAAGCAAGAGGGGGATTTTAACAACCTGGTGGTAATAAATAGAGAAGGAAACATCTTCCCAAAAGCCTCCCTGCCTGGTAACACGCTGCTAGTTAGGAAGTGCTCTCCCTATTAATAGCTACGCTGAGCGTAGCTTACTTTCTGCTTTCCCTCATGATTTGGATGTTCCTCCTCCACGAGCTGCACTGCTGTGGCTGGCAGCAAGCTTGTTATCCTACCTGCAGCCCTGTGGGCTGGATGCAGCTCTTACGGTGAGCTGCCTGGGATCTGATTCTGAAAACACACCGGGCCCAGCAGCAGGCATGTGCTCGCTGCCTTGCCCTTGGTGCAGTCAGCTCCCCAAACAAACAGGATGAGGCAAGCCTGCTTTTCGGGTCCTCTTTTCCTGACTGAAAACTGCTGGCTCATGGGTTTTGGAGCAGCGTCTCTTGCTGTTAAATGAAATCCTTCACTGGCATTGCGCAGTTGACTTCCATTTTCCACGGGGGGGATTCATGATGCAAAGCAGGCTGTGCGTTAGCTGCTGAGAAGTAACTGAGTGGGATCTGCTGCTCCGGTGATGTGTCACACATCTCTGAACAGTAAAACATACCTGGTGACATCAGCACTGGATCAGCATAATGATCAGCATATGCTGGATCGTATAAAAACCATAAAAACTTCACGTTGTAATTGGTGTCTTTCTGTGGCTAGCCATCTTCTACAGGAACTCGAGCAAAACTGAATTCACAAGAGACAAAACACAGGCACAGTCAGAGAGGTGGCCACAGGGCAGGACATCTGTCTTGTCCTATGCGATAATAAACCCGATGCAGCTGGGAATAGTGCAGGCTGTAGGCTTCCAAGACGTTCAAGGACATAACTCTTCCTTACAGCCTGTCAGTGGGAACGTTAGTGTTACACAAAGCACAGCCTTTCTGGCTGTAGCAGAACAGAACGAGTAGTAAATAAGGAATATTCTCAAAATACCCTACTGCCATTGATCCTGATGTTAGTAAAACAATGAACCGCAATGGAGCTTTTAACAATGTTTTTCCAGACTCATCAAAACTGAATGTTTTCAAAGAAAATCTTTTTTCTTCCACTTCCCCAAAGAAAGCTTGCTGGTTATAGACAGCCTGCTAATCAAACTGAAGCTGCCTGTCATCTCAAATCTCTAATGCTCACGTGCTACTTCTTTCTTTGACCAAACAGGAGATGAAGGATCAGATGTCAAACTCCTCCATGCAAGCACTGGCTGAAAGAAAAAACAGACAGGTGAGAATCAGAAACGGGCAAGTTAAGTGACTGCAATGGTTATTTGGTACTTTAAAGAGTGAGGAGGATTTATCACCTCTAGCACCTGTTGTTTTTAAGATACGTGTTAGGGGAAACTAATTTCCATGTAGTCTGGGGTCCCACATCATAAGGTAGAGTGCATAGCATTGATCAAAACTCCCTAAAAGCTGTAATTACAATATATATCCCGTTTTGCAGCTCATCCCCTTAAAACCCTTTATTCTGGGAAGGGGTTTGTGTGCTGCAGCAAAGCTGTGTGTGAACCATGCCTGTCTTGCTGACCTGAGAGTGCTGGTTCTCACAGGCACGTTGCTGCCCCCCTCCTTCAGGCCTGGCTGCGAGCACTAAGTCACCACTCACCATCTGTCTCTGTCTCCAGAAATGGTTGTGTACAGCCGTCAGCGTTGCATCACCCTGTGGAAAGGGGAATCTCCCTCAGCTACAGGAGGAGCAGAGTCAGAATCCATGCCTGTAAATGTAATCCTCCGTATTTAGGAGCCAGGACAGCACATACCCTCACAAATAGCTACTGGGCACAACAGTGTGGGAAGATGGAATTAGTTCAAGGAGTCTCAGGTTGTCTGCGCTTGTAATCTAAGGAACAGGAACAGATGCAGCTTGTGCTTCTCAGCTGATGGGGAAACTGTAAGGAGATCTCTGCACTGACTCCCAGAGCTGCCTCTAAAAATTGGCGTGCTGTTCGTACAACAAACTTACCTGACTGCATCAGTCTTACTGCTGGTGGCAAAAAGGACAAAATGCAGCAAGCTGCTGAGGCACCGAGCTGATTCCTGAGCCTCTTAGAGGCTTGATTGAGGCGCTTGGTGAAAAGCAGAGAAGCAGAGCCCCTTACCTCCAAGTCTGTAGCTGAGTGTTGCTGCTTTCCTTTTCTTTAAGCTCCTGCTAGCTGCAGGAGACCATATGGCCCAGCTCACGCGGCGACATCTGGTCAGGAAAACTGATTTCCCCTTGCTGCCTTCCTCTCCCTTCCCCAGCCCCCTGCCTTCCCTCCAGACCACAAAGCCCGAGCTGTGCCGGGCTGCAGCAGCTTTTCCAGGAGGCTGCCTTTCGGCTGCTGGTGACCTGACCCTGGTGGGCTGGGGCTGCCAAACAGAGGCCTTTCTGTGCAAGCTGCAGCAAAACTTCCTTCCGGGGCCCAGCTGGGAAGCCACGTCTCTGCTGGCTTTGCACAAACCTCTCTGAGGTTGTAGAGCAGGTAGCAAGCGAGGTCTGGTGTGCTGGCAGCTCAGCAGGGCGCCAGAGGAACGGGTAACCTGAATCGAAGAACACGATGCACAAAGCTCCTGCTCACTCTGTCGGTCGTGCTGCAGCTCTCCCCTTGCTGGAGCAGTGTTTGTGCAGTATCAGGCTGCGGAGGTTTCCCACGCTGGCACTGCATTGTTTTAGTTTGTGCCAGCACTCTGAATAGCCAGAGAGCAGGAGGAAAAGGATGCTGTGTGAGCGGACGGGAGCGCTGCCGTGTCCGCTGCGCCCTGCCGATGGACTGTGAGCAGGCACAGGGGTGTTGCTGAGGGGTCTCTGCCTCTCTTTAGGCACTCCTGGGAGACAGCAGCAGCCAGAGCTGGAGCTCGGGACCTGACAAATACAGCCGTCTGGACCGGGAGCTGCAATTAGCAAATTCACACTTCATTGAGGAGCAGCAAGCTCAACAACAGGTAAGGCAGCTGGCACCCTGCAGCCCGAACGGCTCTGCCTGCCAAATGGGCGGCACGGGGATGGGGCACGGGCTGTGGGAGCCAAAAAAAATTCCAGTCCCTGGCTGGTCTGGATCCAGGAGCCTGACAGCCGTCGTCTGAGCTTGCAGCAGATCTCCATGCGTGTGTTCCACGTACGGTGCAGCTTCGGATGTGTCTTGGCGCAGTTTTTAACCGCTGAGGCTTCAGTCTTCTGCTGCGTACAGGAGGCAATCTGGAAGCCGTAGCGTGTGAAGCTTTAATAGTGCAAGGACTGCCGAAATCCTTGGGGAAGCAGAAAGCTCGCAGCCGGGAGGGCGCACATTGCTCACACAACTTTCCCTCGCTAAAAACCGAGCTGGCTGCTTGTGCGCTGCTGTTTGCGCCCATCTTCCTCAGAGCAGCGAGGGAGCAGGAGCACGTGGCTGCTGCCTTTTCCTGCCTTTGTCAACATGAGGTTCGTGAGAAAGGCTGGGCGAGAAGCCCTGGCAAGGTGCTTCCCTGGAGCCGGGGGAGTTTGCCTGGAGCAGAGCCCGAGCAGCACAGACCCCCCTGCAGCAGCCCACCCAGGCTTAAATAGGCCACTTGCAGCAAAGTGCTGAAGCTCCTGACACTCACCACCACCCCGGCTTTCAGGCGAGCCTTACCTAGTGACTGGAGGAAGATAAATCGGCTCCGAAGTAGGTAACTAGGGTAAACCAAATCCTCAGCGTGATTGTGCCCTGAAAGTGACTTAAAACATCAGCAGGCCTATTCCTGGGGCAGGCGGCGAACCAGACTTGTTATTTTTAGCTGCAGAAGCTGCGGCAGCCTCGGACTTGCATTAACCCCCTGGTAACTGCAGCGTGCTCCGGGTTAGGCACCAGCACATGCTCCTGCTGCAGGCACAGCAGAGCTGGAGGAGGTTTTGCTGGCTGGGTCCTTCACAAAACCATCTTGGCGGTGAGTGCAGCAGGGAGGGAGCACGGCTGAGCTGAGGCTGAGTTTGCAGGCAGGGCAGGGGAGGCTGCAGCCAGCTGGGGAGGCTCTGCTGCTGCTGCCACTTCTCAGGCATTTCTTAGAAACACCGTCCTGGAGACCTTGGTGTGTTCCAGGCACTGCAGTGGTGCTTGGCCATCCGTCCGAGCAGCTGGCCCTGATGCAGCAGACCTGTAATGGCTTATTCCCTTTCTCCTTGCCCCCAGCTGATCGTGGAGCAGCAAGACGAGCAGTTGGAGCTGGTCTCTGGCAGCATCGGGGTGCTGAAGAACATGTCGCAGCGCATCGGCGGGGAGCTGGAGGAGCAGGCAGTGTAAGTGGGAGACACAGCACCAAAAACCCCAGGGCTGGCTGCACACCTGGGGTCCTCGCTGCCACACCTCTGCCCCCGTTCAGTCCCAGCATTTCCCAGTCCCCCGGGGCTGTCTCTCCTAGCTCGTCCCCTCCAGCACCCTAGACTGCCTTTGATTTCAGGCAGCAGAAAGCATTTCTCACTGCAGCCTGCAAGGATCCAACCGCAGTCTCGTTGCCTTGAAAGCCTGCACCTGGGGCAGGTTTAGCTGCCAGTTTACCTTGCCTTCTCTCTTACTCTTTTAAACACCACCCCTAAGGCACGCAGTAATGCTCCTTGACTCCAGGCAGGCAGCAGCACCGAGCAGCTGAGGGCAGGCACTGCTCTAACAGGAACACTGGGTGCTTTCCCCTCCGCAGGGCTTTGTGCTACCATTGGAAAACTGCACGGAGCTGCTCAGAGCTCTGCCCTGCCAGGCCCTAAAACATGCAGCACAGAGCTGCCTTCATAGCTAAAGCTAAAAATAACCCTCACCCACACAAGGGTTAAAGGCGAGCTCACAAAGCCATTTGTATCCTCCCATTTACGTACAAATTAGATTTCTTTTCCCTGTGCATGGCCTTTGCAAACAAGAGCGTAAAGTTTCCAGTTAGGAGACGCTTGGAGGGTTGGTTTGGCTGGTGGGAGGCCGGAGGGCGATGCCCCACGTGATGTGATGTCTCTGGTGGACAGCAGGAACTTTAAACCACCTCCTGCAGGATTCCTGCGAAGCAGGTCAGTGTGGTGGGGCCCTTTCTAGATTACCACATAAGCGATCAGGGCTTGCTAGACAGCAGATAATTATGGCAATACAAGTTTTACAGCTCCTTGTTCTCCACCAAGAGAAGGTTTAACAAGTGCCCTAGAACTCCAAATGAGGGAAGCCGTCCTTTTAAACACGTTAAGCTTTCAAGTCCCACTCACTGGAGATGGCTGGGATAGCCGTGATGCTGGATGTGCTCGTCTGTCTTCAAGTGGGTTCTTGGCACTAACAAAACAGCTTCAGAAAGGCTTCCAGATCGTTGCAGCTGCTGTGTGGAGGAACTGGAGGGGTAACTTCCATACAGAGCTTAAGAGCACCCTAAAAGTGCTCTTCCCACCACAGCAGAGCTGCTGCTCCAGTTGTCTTGCACTTTGGGTGCTTTCAGGAAACCAAGCTGCTCGGCTTATCTCTGCACTGATCATCTTGGCGTTTTGATCAGCGTGTGCGGGCACGCCGAGCAGCTCCGGGGGCACGTGTGGCTTTGCTTGTTGATCAGTACCATGCTTCTGTCCCTAGGATGCTGGACGACTTCTCCCACGAGCTGGACAGCACTCACTCGCGGCTTGACAACGTCATGAAGAAGCTGGCCAAAGTGTCTCACATGACGAGCGGTAGGTCCTGGGAGGTGGGAGAGACGAGTGCTTGGGTTTTATGGCTGGGGCGCTGCCTGCTCCCACACACCCAGAGCTGAGCAGAGAGGAGGGAGCAGCTCTGGGTGCACAGAAGGTTGGAGACGGGGAAGATTTCCAAAGCTTGCAGCTGCTCCTGCCCAGACACTGCTCTGCAGCCTGTCCTCGGCCTTTGTTTTATTTACAGATGCCTTTCTATTTATGTTCTTACTGCTGCAGTGGGAAAATCCCCTTCCCAGGCGATAGGAGGGAAGGCTCTGCAGCCTCCTTCGCCGCTTGCACGTTTCCCAGGCCACCTGCTGAGCAGAAGCTCTCGAGGTGGCACAAAACACCGCCACCGCCCCCCTGCTCCAAACCTCGCCTGCCCTGGGGCTGCTGGCGCCAGCCCTGCAGACGCGGGGACTGTCCGGGGACTTTCTGGGCTCTCAGCTGGTGGAGGAAAGAGGCGAGGGAGAGGCCGAGCTCGTGAGAAAAGCCCTTAAAAGGCTGTACCCGAACCTGGTGGGCTGGCGGCTGGCCGGGTGCTGCGGGCAGAGCAAACAGGAAGCTGCTGCCTGCCGGGAAGTCCCCGCCGCCCGCCTCCCTTACCCCTCTGGGGGCTCGGGTAGCTGCTGGAGGCAGCAGCGAGGGTTTCTGCCCTTGCAGACGTAGCCAGGGCCTGACAGCAGCTGTGCAGCCTCGCGTCCCACCCCCAGGGTCGGAGCTCACCCGGGGAGAGCCAGGCACCACGCGAGTGATGTGGCTTCTGCGGGGCGGCCCCAGCTCGCGGCGTGACCATGGCTGGTGCCGGGAAGTCGGCGCCGAGCACGAATCCAGATGGGGGAAGCTTTCACTGTGGGAGCAGAACGGTGTCAGACGGCGTAGAGCAGCAGTGCAGGGCGGTGGTTTAACGCTGGAAAAGGCACGGGGATGTATTTCCAGAGGAAAGCCAAAGTTTCCCTTATGGTGGTGTGCTGAGCGCCCTGGAGGCGGTGCGGTGTGGAGCATCTGCAGAGCACGCACGGGGGCTGGCAACTTGTAGAAAATATCCTGGGGGGGCTCATTCCTGGCAGTCTTCTACGGGGAGCTGCAGCGAGCTCTTCCTGGCAGGGCTTTTTTAGGAAGCTTTCACTGCCCCCTTCTTTTTCCTCTAGCAAGCAGGTTACTCCACAAACAAGCAGCAACACACAGCAGCCCCCTGCTTGTTCTTCCCGCTCACTTTTGGAGCAGCTTATCAAGTCTGCTTGAACTTGATTGGGAACCTCAAAATGGCACGACTGTCCCAAAAACCAGCAGCATCCTGGGGAACAAGCACTGTCACCCCGTGAGGAGCCTGTAGGGGACATGCTGCTTGTCGTGCTGTTCGAGGAGCTGCTCCTACAGCATTTGTGGCTTCTTTAGCTTAATTTGGGGTCCGAGCAGTACGGTGAAGAAAAGCTCTCCCCCGGTTTTCCTTCGGTGTTAACGCAGGGGGACTGACTCTTCCTTTTTCTTTCAGACCGACGGCAGTGGTGTGCGATTATCGTCCTCTTTGCCATCTTGCTGGTGGTGCTCATCCTGTTCTTCGTCCTGTGATGGACTGAACTCCTCGGATGCCTCTTCTCTGCCCCCCCTCCCCTTGTAGCATGGGGAAACGAAACTCTCGCCGTTTCCGTCCGCCCGGAGCTCCCCGTCAAGAAAACCTGCATCTGGCTCTCACCTTCCTCCTCCGAGGACCAAGGCTTGGCTCTGCCTACGTCTCACCTGGCCCCGGGGAGGGCAGAAGGAGGGCAGGAGCAGTTTGTGGCTCCCCCACAAACCCGGGGGGTGCTCACCAGCCAAAAAAGCATTCCCAGGAGGAGCAGAGCAGGGCCGTGACACCCCACGTGAACCCACGGCCTGGCTCAGCACCGCCCCGATAGCACCGAGCCAGGATTCACCTCCCAGACCCCTGGGCAGGAGCTGACACGCTGCAGGTCGGTGAGCTGTGGGTGCAGTGTCCCTGCCACCCGCACGAGGGGTGCGATTGGAAACCCCACAGCTTTAATCTTGGGTCGCTGAGAGCTGGCAGCCGGCCGTGTGCCCGAGGCTGGATTTCTTAAAGCTTTTAAAATCGCCTCCTTTGTTATACAAGCCTCTAAAGCTCATTGACTGATGCTTTCTTTGCCCTTGTATGACTGAGTAACTGCTTCTGTTTAACAGCTGCTTCCCTTTGGCAAGTGATTTGTCAGGTCTGAAATAACTTATTTTTTTTAAGGAAAAAAAAAAAACTTTAAAGATTTTTTGATGACCATTTGAGCCCCATTCTTTCTGCAGATGCAGGACGCCCTCTCAGAGGAATGGAGCTTAACTATGGATTTTAAGTGCGTATGAACTTGTAAATAGGATGTCTTAATTTTTTCCCAACTGATATTTTTTTGGGGGAACTTCCATCGTAAGCAACCAAAAGCCAGAAAACTCAAAGCTAGGTCACGCTTCTGTATGACTCCCCAGTCCTTTTGTTACCTTGGGGTTTGTCACCCCGATGGGCTCGGTGCTGGTGGATTAGGATGTAGCCAGGTAGTCGATACCAAAATGAAACAAAGCTCACCCTGGCAGTATTACTGGGGAGAAATACAGGTCCTGGGCTGCAAACACTGACTACAGAGATATGGGACGGCTCCTCTGCAAAGAAGAAACTTGCTAAAGCCTGCTCCCGTATTTAAAGGTTGTTTTTTTCAGGAGGGAAAGCCGCCACACACCAGGCTGACTTCCACCTTCCATCTGGCTCTCAGATGGGGCTGGGGGAGGAAGTTAGCTGGTGCTGACACTAAGATTTCTGCTGAAACTGCAGGCCAGGCCCCCGGAGTCGTACTCCCCATAAGGGAAACTCAGCCCGGGCTGGACCCTGCTCCCCCAGCGGGGTTTTGGGCTCTGTTGAGGCGTCTGCGTGGTCCCTCCTTGCAGGCACACGGCAGCTCCGTGCCTTTCCCTGCCGTGCCAGGGCGGCTTCTCCTGCATCCAACGCACACATGCCCTTCACGCCAGCCTGCACGGCCGACCGCGGCGGTTCCTCTGTCCCTGCAGAGCATCTTGCTGCTTTTGGTTACGCTGTCAGAAACACGGCTGGCGCCTTCCCAAGGCTGCCTCTTGCAGTGGCTGCACTTGGGCTCAATCCCTCTCCGAGAGCAGGTTTCCCCAGAGGTCCGTGGTCATCCTCCGGGTGTGGGCACCACGTGGTCCTGCTGCTGTCCCCGCCGGCCTTGTTGTTACGGAGAGGATTTGCATCCGAGCACCCGGAGCTGCTCACCCTCGCTGCGTGGGACTGACAACGGAGCCGTGCCCGTGGGACTGCCTCCTGCACAGCGCCAGAAGCCGGCTCCAAAATGTGCTGGGGAAGGAGAACGCCGCCTCCTCTGCTCCCCACGTTGTTTTCAGCTCAGTCCCGTGTCCTCCAGGAGCAGCTCCTGATGCTCCAGGCAGGACCACGCTCTCCTCAGCCCGTCGTGCTGCCGGAGGGCAGCCCAGCCGCGGCGCTCGCGTGTCTGTCCGCGTGTCCCTGCAGTCCGTTCCCCCTGTACGTTTGCTTTTCCTGTTGGTGGTGGTGCTCCCCTCTCCTTTACTGCTAAATAAACGCGTTGCTGCTGCCCGGCGTGTTGCAGCAGGGGAAATCATTAGTCGCTCTTGCAGAAATCCTTGCTTTTGGGGACAAGAGGGGGGTCACACACCTGGGGGGCTCAGCCCCCGTGAGCATCCACATCCCCACGTGCCTGGGACATGTCCCCCACCACCCATCCCCTCTGGACCTCTCAGCCTGCATCACCCCAGCCCAACCACGCCACCTGCCAGCAAAGGGCAAAAAAAATAACATTTATCCATGTATATAATATATATATATATTTATATGCATTATTATTTTTTTTCAGTTTGAAATAACTTAAAAAGGAACCCACCCGCCCCCGGGGGGAGGTTTCCAGCTGTGGCAGGGAACCCCAGGGGGTGGGGACGGGCTGTCTGTCCCCACGCCACCCCCGGGGACACTGGCGGTGCCCTGGGGCAGGCCCTCGGTCCTGCGGGGTCCCCGGGGACCCCCACATCGCACCTTGCAGGGCCGCTCACGGTCCCTTTGTCAGGTCCACGGCGAGACCCAGGGCTTTGGAAATAATCCATGGATGCCTCTAGGTCACCGTCCTCTTCCTCCTCTTCCTCCTCTTCCTCCCGGGAGCCGCTGCTACCGGCGTGCCGGGCGCTGCCGCAGCACGCGCAGGGAGAGGCTGTCGGCGTGGAGCAGCAGCTCGCGGATTCGGGCCAGCCCCAGGCCCGACACGGCGGCCCCGTTGACCTGCAGGATCTCATCGCCCACGCCCAGCAGCCCCGCGTACAGCTTGGCCGTGCCGGCGTCCGACATCTCCTGCACGTAGACGCCTGCGGACGGAGGCACGGCACGGCTCGGCTCAGCTCACCGTGATTTAACCCCCCAAAAATGGTGATTTTTTTTCTTTTTTGCACAGCCCCACGGTACCTGTGTCGGGCCGGCCGTGCCCGGAGGTGAGGAGGAAGCCGAAGGAGCCGTGCGGGGGCCGCTGCAGCTCCAGCTGGCTGGTGCCATCGGGGAACACCTCCACCACGCGCCCCACCGTGCGCGGCAAGCCGGGCGCGCCGATGTCCTCCACGCTGAGCGAGCGCCGCGGCCCCGAGGCCCCCGTCCTGCAGGGACAGGGGTGAGCGGAGACCCCGGGACACCGTGGCCAGGCCAGGGCCGAGCACGGTGACAGCCCCGTCCCCGTCCTACCTGTCCCCGGGTCCCGGCTGGGGCAGGAGGTAGGCGCTGGCACGGGGCGCCTTGCCCAGCAGGGCCTGCAGGCTCTGGGTGGAGGCGGCTTTTCGGGGCTGGCAGAAGGGTGACACCTAGGGAATTGTGCCCGGCTGAGGTGTGTGGTGCCGGCACACCCAAACCCTCCCAAATCACCGCGGTTTGACCCCCCCTTCACCACACCAGGACACCACCAGGGTGAGGTGGGAAACACGAGCCATCCCCCAGCTGAATTACCCCACCTCCCCTCCCAAACCTGCCTCTCCGCCCCCTTTCCCCCCATTTCACCATTTCCCGTTTGGCTCTCTGCACTTCACCCCCGTGCGCTCTCCTCCCAAAGGCAACACCGCCCCGGCTCCTCCTTCGCCGTGCCCCCCACAGCATTTTGGGCTCACCAGGGACTGCAGCGAGGGCGACCTCTCCACGCCGGGGCTGCTGCCGGGGGCCGGGAGCTGCTCCATGCTGTAGCAGCGGAAGCGGCCCAGGCGCTGCTTGGTGCTCTGGCTCAGGCTGCTCAGCAGCTTCTTCAGCCCCGAGGACGCCGAGGCGCCGCTGCCCTTGCGGCTCACCACCCGCGCCGGCTCCCTGCAGGGATGGGGACGATGCCCCAACGGTGTTTAGCAGGAGCTTGTCCCCAAAAGAGTTGCACACTGCCCACAATATGGTTTTAGGGAGGTGCCAAACGGCACCCAGTGCCTCGCACCCAGTGCCAGGCACGCTCACCACTCACCCAGGTGCCGTGCTCCCATCCTGCTGCGCCCTGGGCATCCCGGCAGCATCCCCAGAGGGCTCAGCCCCGGGCTGTGGCAGTGCCCCTGCAACCACAGCGCGATGTCAGGTCCCCAAACCCACCGGGGACACCCCAGCACCCCCTGCCCGCGGCTCCCTTACCTCCTCCTCCTGCCCCCCGGCCGTCCTGCCCGCGGGTGTTGTTGCAGTTGTTGGTGGACAAGGCACGGAGGGGGCTCCCCGGGAGCCAGATGGGGCCGCAGGGCCCCCGCCGCTGCCCCGCGCCCTCGGGTTTGGGGAAGCGCCCCCAGCATCGGGCTCCGGGCACCGGCGGCTGCTGGCGAGGTTTTTCCTGCAAGGCACCTGGGAGCAGGCTTTTTTGGTGGTGGTGGCGCCGGCGACGGGGGGCGCAGGGACACGGGGACCCCCCGCTGGCTGCGAGGAGGGGGCTGGGGGCTCGCCTGCTGCCCGGTGCCTCAGCGGGGTCCCCCCCATCCCGGCTGCCAGAAGGAGGGGGGCGAGGTGCCCCCGAGCCCCCAGCCCCAGCCCGGGGGCTGCTGGCCACGCTCGCCCCCTTGCCGGCCCGCGCCTCCTTCTGTGCCGGGGCCCGGGGGGTCCGGTGGCCACGAGCCCGGGGGTCGCGGTGAGCCCGTGGGTGGGGGCTGCGGGGTCCCACCTCCTCGCTGTCCGTGCGGCAGCTGTCGGAGGTGTCAGTGCTCTCCAGCGCCGAGTCCGCCTCGTCGGCGCGGCGGGCGTCCCCGATGTAGGTCTCCTTGATCTTCTCGGTGTGGATGCGCTGCCGGGAGGGCAGGATCCAAAGTGGGGACCCCCCGGGACCCAGGGGCCGGGTTTTGGGCTCCACTTGGGCACCTCCAGGCCCTCCACGCTCCCGTCCACGAGCCACGGGGCTGCTTTCGGCCGGCTCAGCAGCCCCAAGGAGGGAGCCACAAGCTCGGCACTTGCCCCCAGCAGGGGACGTCACCGCCCTGGGCTTTTGCAGAGCTGCCTCCGTCCCCCAGCTGTGCGTGGGCTTCGCTGCTGGCGCGCTCCAGCGCCGAGCCCAGCGGGCGGCGGTGCCGCAGGCGCTCCAGGTAGCGCACCTCGGCGTCGCGGGCAGGACTCGTCCTCGAAGCGCACGCGGGATGGGGAGGGGCCCCGCGGGCGCCGGGGCGCGCAGCCGGACTCCCCGCTGGACGAGTCGCTCAGGCTGCCGCCCGCCGGCCCCTCGCCCTCCCGCGGGACAAAGCTGGGCCTCGGCGTCCCGCTGGGCTCCCTGCTGCGGGGACAGACGGACGGACGGACAGACAGATGGATGGACGAGCTGCCAGGGCTGCCCGGAGCAACTCCTCAGCCTCACTCAGCTCTCCTGCAGGGTCAGCTGGCACCAAAGGCGGTGACCCCACACACAGCCCCCTCACCGCCCTCCAACCGGGGAGGCAGCTGGGAAACTCAACTCTCCTGCACATACAGTGCCTCCCCAGTGCCTCAAAACACCACGAATCACCCCAAAAATATCCTGCAGCAAAGCCTCAACGTGCACCCGAGCAAGGGGAGCGCTCCTGGGGCAGGGAGGGCACAAGGTGCAGCCGGTGGGACCCTGGCCCTGCGCATGCCCCCTTTGCCAAGCATGCCCGCGGGTTTTCCGTGCTAAATCCTCGTGCAGTGCCCCGGTGCCGCGGATTTGGGACTCACCTGGGGCGCGGGGTGGCGGGGAGGAGCAGGAGGTCGTGGCTGGCGCGCAGCGGGTTGGTGCGAGCCTTCATGCGGGCGCGCTGCAGCAGCTGCTTGGCCTGCTCGTGGCGAGGACTCAGCTCCAGCTCCTGCCCGGGAACAAAGGCCCTGCGGGGCGGGGGGGTGGGAGGGGGGCAGCGGGGGGAATTAGCGAAAAATAACAGGGATTAGGAGTGGTTTAGCCCTGACGGCGCAGCTCCGCGGGGAGGAACCAGGGCCCGGGCTCCCGGTGCAGGGGACACCCCTGCGGGCACCCCACAGCAGCCATTGGGGGGGGGCTCAGCACCATCCCCGGGGTGCTGGAGCCGCACCGGGGGCACCCCAGAGGTTTTTTGGGGAACCTGAGGCAGCCCCAGCCCCGCAGGTTTGGGGTGATGCCCCCGGCCCTGCTCCCCTCCCGTTGTGCGCCGGGGGCTTCCCCGTCCCGGGGGGGACCCGCGGCTGCCCGAGGGCACAGCCCCACTCCCGCACTGCCTCCCCCGTTGGCCGTGGCCCTAATCCCCCCCGATTAAAATAATCAGCTCGGGCTGGCACTTCGGGGAACCCGGCATTAACCTGTTCGAGGCAGGAGCACCGCGGCCCTCGGGAATCCCCCCTCATGCCAAGCCGGGGGGGGTCCGAGCCCCTTCGCCCCATTTTGGCTGCCCCCGTGGGCATCCCCAGCTCTCAGCCTTGCACCCACCAAACCTCAGCTGCCAGAGCACTGGAAATTTGATAATTGCCATATAGGTGTGTTTTCACCCCAAATTTCTTCCCCCTTCCAGCCTTCCAGCCTACCCCCCTGCCCCAGCACAGCCCCCCCAGCCCAGCTCACCTGCCCGCCCCTCCCCGTATTTTTAGCGCCTGGCCGCCGGGGTTTATCATTAGGCCAACGAGATTACGGCTCCTGCCTCCCCTAAGCCCTTAAGCACCTGCAGCAAATTTCTGCCCCGCTCCCCTCCCCTCCCCTCCCCTCCCCCTGCAGGACCCCAAGCACCCTGGCACAACGCCCAAACCCCCCCGAGCTGCCAGGGACCCACGAGGATCAAATCCAGCTGCTGGCTCCCCACGGGCCCCCCCAAATCCCAAACCAAGCCCCACATTTCACCAGCCCCCCCCCCCCAGTGCCGCGGGGCCCCCGGGGGAAGCCTTTGGGGCCGACCCACCTGCAGCCCTCGGCGTCCTGCAGCGAGACCCCCGAGTCCCAGTCCCCATCGCTCGCCAGCACCTCTGGGTTGGGAGGAGAGGGGAAGGTGTCAGTCAGAGCCCCCACCCCACTGAGCTCAGCACCCCGTTCTGGGGCCAATTCCCCAAATTTCAGCTCCTCAGGGATTGGGGCGGGGGTCCCTCAGCCCTGCTTTTTTGGGGTAATTTCCCCCCCACTGACCCTGACGCCTGCATTAGGGCCAGGAGCACGCGCCCCGGCCCGCTCGAAGCCAGCCCCACGGCCTCCCCCCCACAGCCTCCCCCTGCCCCCAGAGAGGCGTCGAGGAGGATTCGCTCCCTCCCGGCCCCCCGGCACGCACCCTGCGCCGAGCCGGCCGCCGCCAGCCCCAGCACCTCCTGCAGCAGCCGCCGGTTCCTCTCCACCCTCTCGGCCAAGGAGAGCGGCTCCCAGCCCGCTGCCACCTCGCCGCCATCCACTGCCGGGGGGGCACAGCCCCGGGACCCCTCCTTGGGGTGCTGCTGGCTGCTCCCCGACACCCTCCGGGTTCCCTGGGGGGGCTCCGGGGGCTCCCCAGCATCCAGCAGCCCGTCGGTCAGGTAGGTTCGGAGCTGAGCCCGCGGCTCCGCCACCGTCGCATCCACCCCGGGCTTCCCCCTGCGGGGTCGGGGCTTTTTGGGCGAGGGGCGCTCGGGGGGAGCACCGGTGGTGGTGGTAGTGGGGGGGGGTCCCCAGGCGGCTGGTGCCCCGCTTCTCCTTCAGCGCCTTCACCTTGCTCTCCAGGACGGCGTGGGGACCCCCCCGGGGGGGCTCCGGTGATGCCGGGGGTCGGGGGGCTCGCCCCGGCTCAAGGCGCCGGCCCCCCTCCATGTGCCCTGCGGGGAGAAAGAGCCTGAGAGGGCGGCCGGGGCACGGCTCTGCTTCCAAAAGGGCACAGAAAGGAGGACACGGCCCCCAGGGAGCTGTGTGGGGGGAGCACCATCACCCGAACGCGATGCCAGCCCCATGGGAGCCCCAAAGCCCCCGCAGCACAAATCCCACTCGAGGCACCTTGCCAGCAGCTCGCCGTGCCCCCGCAGCCCCCCGGGCTCGCACCACTTGGCCTTGGGATCCCAGCGGCCCCCAGACGCTGCCACTCCCTGCGCCCCCCAGGACAAGCCCCCAGCGTGGCCACGGGACCCCCCCGGGGCTCCCCGATGTCCCCCGGGTGAGCCGGACCCCGCTGCCACCCCCCGGGCACGGGGAGCATCGGGACGGGGCGAGTGGGGTCCCCGCAGAGGCAGTGGCAGCGGGAGGCGAGGGCCGGGCTTACCCCCGAGCATCAGGAGAGGGCCGGGATAGAGGGAGGAGAAGGCGGAAGAGGGGAAGGAAGAAGGGGAGGAAATTAAAAAAAAGGAAAAAAAAAAAAAAAAAAAGGCAAAGCAGCAAATCCCAGCCCCTTCAGCCCAGCCCCAGCTCCGCTGCTTGGCCGGCCCTGCCTCCTCCTCCTCCTCCTCCTCCTCCTCCTTCTCGCCAAGGCTCCCGGCCAAGCCCCACGCAGCCCCAGCTGCCGGAGCCCGTCCCCGGATAACCGATGGTCCCAAAGGGTGACGCCAAGCCCGGAGCAGTCACGGCCCTCAGGGACGTGGTGGCCCCACGGGGAGGAGAAACCCTACACCCGCACCCCGTGCCGAGGCCCGGGCACCTCGTCCTTTGTTTGTCCAGCCTGGGAACGGAGAGCAGGGCTGGGATGCTCCTCACCCCCATCCAAACCCCGCGGTGCTGGAGCATCCCCTGTGAGCATCGCTCCTCTGCGGATGTGTTCCGAGGCCGAACCCCGCTCTGGCCCCGTATTAGCACCCCAAGAGGGCTCACCCTCCTTGCCAGAGCACCAAAACCCCATCCCCATCCCCGAGACGCCCCAAAAACCCACCCCAGGTGGGGCAGGAGCCGGCCCCGTTGGGCACCGCTTACCTGGAGGCAGCGGCGCCGCCGGCCCCACGGGGACCAAGGGGAGCTGCGGGGGCCATGGGCATCCCGGCCCCGCTCCCAGGCCGCCTCTTTAAGCCTCAGCTTTTGATATTCCTGATTGGTTTCATAATCCCGATCAAAAGGAAATGGCCGGGATTATGAAATTGTTTTAATCCCCCCGGCTCCCGCCAGCACGAGCGGCGAGAAATCGCGGTTATCTTCTTAAAACCTCCCCGCCACCCGCCCGGGGCATTTCAATTTCCGCCGGCGGCCCTGCCCCTGCCCTGCAAATCTCCTCGGGGCCAAAAACGAACCCCGGGGCTCCACATCCCTGCCCTGCCAAGCTCCTGGGGGCCAAAAGCGAGCCCCAGGGCTCCGCGTCCCCGCGCCAGGGCGCACAGAGGGGTGAGACACGAGGCGTCAGACCGTTGGAAAACAAAGAGCTTGTAATAAGGGAAAAAAAAGGACAGATTTCGTAACCAATCACTTTTTCCTTTTAAAAACACAATCACAGTAACTTTGCTTTGATACAACCACCTAGGAACTATGAAACAGTATCACATTGTGCATTATTATTATTTTTTTTTTAAACCTACTTATCAAGAAGGGTATTCCACACTCCAAAAAAATGATATCCATTTGGGAAGGAAAGAGGAGACAGCTAACAGCGCAGTCACAGATACATCATGAGTCCAAGCAAGCGGCAATTTCTTTGTCCTCACCTTTTCCACTTAGCCAAAAAGAAGAGTGGAGAAGGGGATAGCGAAAGAGAAAGGAGGAAAGAAAGAAAGCACCCACAGAGGACTAATCACACTCCATAATTACTTTGGACATCTACAGGTCAGGGCTTCAGAGAGTAACCGTTCGGACCAACACAGCGAAAACGATCCCACGGCCTTTGGGATAAAACAAACCAAGGAAATGCTCGAGGCCGAGCTCGCCCCAACCACGGGGAGGTGGAGGTGAGACGGGGCCGGGGCAGAGCCGAAGGGGGCAGCGGGGAGCTCCGGGTAGCTGAGAAACCCCCGAGGCTGCAAATCCCAACCTGCCACCCCGAAATCCTCACCCCCTGCAAGCCGCGGATCCCTGGCAGGGCGGGCGGGATGGAGAGCAGCAGGGAGCAAAGAGAAAGGAGCGCACAGGGGATCCCCAAAAACCACGGCCCACACCGCAGCATCGCCTCCCCTTCGGTGGGACCATCCCCAAGGGCTCCAGCAGCTGGAGGAGGTTTCCCTGCCACCCCCACAGGCCAGGCTTTGGGTGAGTTTCATGCCATGAAGGCAAGGGGAAGACCTCAAGACCACCGAGCTGCCCACCACAGCTTGCGAGCAGCCTTCGGGCACATCCCAGCACCTAAAGCACCAGCTCCTCATTCTGCTCCCCCGGCGTTCCCAGCTCGCTCCCCTGCTTTTCTCCCCCCGGCGGTGTTTCCAAGTCCCCTTTTCGGTTCCACTCACAAAACTCGGCCGCCCGCTCCCCTGGCTCCAGGAGCCCGGCACCATTTCTCTCCACCTCCACCCGGCTCTGGTGGCCAGATGCTCGCAGAGCCACGGGGCCGCCCGGCTTTTAGCACCGACCCTCGGGGGGAATCCGCGTTTCTCAGAAGTCTCCGGGAGGTCGGGACCACGCGCCGGGGAGACGGGGTCCTTGAAAAGCCACGCTGCCAGGAAGTCAGAGCAGCCTCCCTGCCAAAAGGGACGGCGGCGTTGTGTTTCAGGAGATAACGTTTGCCAGCTGCGGCACGCCGCCTCCCCCTTTGCTTATTTCTCCTGGCAGCAAAGACAGAGGAAAAAAAAACAAGAAAAGAAAAAAAAAAAAAAAAGGAGAGAGCCGGGAAGGAGACAGGCCCGAGCAGCAGACGGACAGATGGATTCTTGCTTTGATAAACCACAGAGTAAAAACAACTGCTTGCAACTCGCTGCTCCCCGTCGGGATAGCACCAGGGGCCCCCGATGTGCCCGGCTCTCCCCAGCCCCGCTGAGGAAGGCAGGGAGCTCCCGGCGGCACCTTAAATCCCCTCTGGGAGCCAGGCTGCGATGCATCCCCGAGCTTTCTTTACAAAAACCACCACCGGAGTAACCACACTCACTCCAGACTGCTCCCCTCGGTGCCGCTGCCCTCCCGGAGAGCTGCCCCCAGCTCTGCAGGGCTCCAGCAGCGACCACTGCCAATTAGCACAACTATTTGAAGGAGCTTCAGACCTCAGGCTCTGCTTGCCTACGAGCAGGGAGTGGTGGACCTAGGGGAGCTGGCAGGGGCAGCAGCTCGTGGGCACCGAGCAGACGGAGGCGGCCGCCGCACCGCACCGAGGTCCCCGGCGAGCTCAGCGCACGTCTCGGGCAGCCACCGACCTGCAGTGTTGGCCTCGTTCTGTCACGGGTTCACTACCACTTAATTTTAAGCTATTTCAGATGAAATGAACTACGTTTCCTTCTTCGGTTCCTCTGGGCGAGAGAGGCACAGCAGGCAAAAAGGGAGAAAACGCAACGCAGCGGCGGGCAGGTGGGGAACCGCGCTAACAGCTCGCCAACGCAAACAGCGGGGCAGCCAGGCCGGCGTTCCTGCAATTCCATCGCCGAAAACAGACAGACAGCAGTGCAAGGATCCTACAGCAGGAGGCCCACCTCGCCTTCGCAGCAGCACACAGCTGGACACGGCTGTCCGGGAGCCAGCCACCCGCCTGCTTCCTTCTCTACGGGAGGAGACCGAGTGCCGCGCTCCCCGAGCACAGCCAGCTGGAGAACAGCAGGAAAGCCCCCAGCTTGGCACGGGGTGGGTCGTGCCCTCACTTAGCTAACGATAATTAAGGCTTTGAAATACAGGTTTTGATCCGGACAATGTTGTTCTGAAGCCTTTGTCTGCCCGGCTGTTCGCACGATCGGTGGGACCCGACTCGCCCTTCGAAAGGGTCTCGGGATCACTTGCACTGCTCTCACACGGCTGCAGGGGAAGTCAGCATTGAACTGGCACAAGAGACGTGCCCAGAAGCAGTAGCAGCAACTAAAAGTCAGAAAGAGAAACTTTGGCTTAAAATAAAATTGAAAAGAAAGAAAGAAAGAGATAAAAGGTAAACAGGTGCAAGTCGTCTCGCGAGAGGGGTACGTGCAGAGCATAACCCCACAACCCTAGAGATCTAGATCGACATTCCCGGCTTCGTTTTACTGTTACAACCTTCATTGCACAGGACTCAGAATCACTCTCATATGGTTGTTAGGTTTCATAAATAATGTGAAAACTATACGCAACAGGTACATCATATTTCCAAAAACTTATAAGAAAAGTTACATCAAATTAAAAAGTAGCTTCATGAATGAAGATACTGCTCTAAGTGCACTTTCCCTGCAAGTGCAGCCAGTGCCTCAGCGCTGGATATGAAGAAAAAAAAAAACAAAAACCAAAAAAAAAAATCCGATTTAAAAACTTAAGTCCGGTTTCAACCAGTCAAAACCGGGCCAAGCAGAAACCGAGGGTGTTCTCGGCACTGTCCCATGAGGGAGTCCCTATGATGCTTCTTTATCCAGATAGGTTTGTATGTCCTTGTTGAGACTGTAAACAATCCTTCTTTCCTGAACTGTCCTCTTTATTGGCAAAAGAAAGTAAAATATTTTATTTTTAAAATAGAACATCAAAATTAACCCAGAAGAAAAGAAATGAAACACAGTGAGCTTGTTGGAGTCCATAGGATCTGGTCTGGAAGAGCTCGGAAAACGTGTTCAGTGTTTTCTCCTGTTTTCAGCTGGAACTGTACCAGAGATTGGGTTACTTGGGGAAGAGGGGAGCAGAATGAGAAAACAAAGGATGCGGAATAAAAGACCGTGGCCGTTTCATGTGTTCACTTCTTTCGCTAGTTCCTCTATCAATACCTTAATGTCAGAAGCCTTGGACCTAGAAAAAAAAAAAAAAAGAGAGAGAAAATACTTACTGGGAAGAAGGAATTCCCATTTCTACACACAGACAACAGAAGAACAGTGCACCTCAAAATCTCTTATGCAGACAGGGGGTAAGCAGGCTACTGGAACTACTGGGGCTGGGGTGCAAGATGGGGAAATGTGTAGGGTATAAGTACGAGGGGTGGAAAGAAAAATGTCATGGGTTTGGATTTGGGAGAGGAAAGGGTCTGAGGTCTCACGTGTGAAATCTTAACTGAAGGGTAACTGAAATCTTGGGGTGCTCTGCAGCCTGGAAATGGCTGACTGAAGAGAACCTGTCTCCCAGGTCTGGATTTATCGCCTCTGGCAACTCTTACAGGTTATTTCTGCAGGAGGGGAGTTCTGTAAACAGAATTGCCTTTTCCAGTGGTTTAACAGAACCCACAGACAGTGTAAAAGATAGATCAACCCTCCAGCAGGAGCATATTCACTTACAAATCAGACCTGTCCACCCTGACTGCTTCATCTGAGCTCCTAGCGTGATTACCCCGTCCGCAAGCAGGCACTGCACACAAAGCAACAGCTCCAACATGCGGCTCGGCTTGCTGAGCTGGAGGAAAGGAAAAACGTACTGTGAAGCAAGACGAGGTCTGCGCAAGGATATGCTCTGGCTGCGCTTCCACTGTTTGTTTTTACGGCGATTTCGTACTCCATCTTCCTGGTCCATCATCTGATCCAAGAGCGTCAGGTCATCGGCATTGAGCGGTGCCACGGAGATGTCCCTGACGGCACGGAACTCCCCGCAGTTGTTCAGGTGCTCGTTCTCCAGACGGAAGAAGTTCCACACAAACCGCCTGCGGGGAGAAAAAGCAAAATTTATCGCTGCAGTCCCACTCGTACGGGCAGCACCCGTTTGTCGGAGCACTGATCCGCAGCACTGGCTGCTCTCGCTGATCACAAAGTGCCTCTGGGAACGTGCCTGGAGTACCGAGAAATGGCAGATGACGAACAGCAGCACCTGCTCCAACATCTTCCCAGCTCCCCAGAGAACAACAGATCTGGCAGGCTCATTCATTGTCCTAACGATGACAGCCCTGGTCCAGGGAGCACGGAGGCAGCAGGCATTACAAGCGAAAGGAAAAATATATGGCAACCTCTGCCACATGCATGAGTGAGGTTCAGCTTCAATGTTTCTTTTTAAATTCATCTCAAGAAGCTGTGGGGGTCTCCAGCTAGAGTAAGAGTGTGTAAAGAGCCCTGAAACCTTGCAGGGTCCAAACCAATGATCCACATGAGTGTATGGAAAAGCAGCAGGAATTTGAGAATAAATGTAAACATAAAATCAAGTGAAATTTCAAATGCTTCTGCCAATAACATCATTTTAAAGAGAAATTTATTAATAGCAAAACTCTCTAGATTATGTCTAGATTCAGAGGAAATGACAAATGCTAGTCCTAGATTACTTATTGATTTAAATAATAAAAAAAAAGTAAAATAAAAAATACAAATTAACGTTTTAAAAGCCCGGGGGAAAATAATTTTCAGCACAGTAAAAAAAAATTAAAGCCACACATTGCTATGGAGCCCTGTACAACTTCCTTGCCTCAGCACCTGATCGGATTAAATGTTCCTATAAGACTTTGTCTTCAGTTTTAAGGACTTGCATCTTACCTGTCCATGAGCACAATGCTTCCCACTGTGCTGATGTTACACGGGTAATAAAAACCAGAAATGAACTGTTGGGTCAAGCAGCCTTACCTGAAAACCTCAAGTGGGGCAAACACAGTAGAAATGATGTCCCCAGCATACGGGAAGATTTGCATGGAGGTGAGGGAGATCTGGATGGTCCACGCAAAACGCAGGATCACGTCCTCTACAATGGCACAGTAGTAGTAAGCCTGAAGAACAGGACAGACAAACAGGACAGGTCATCTGGGATGGTCCACACAAAACACAGATCTATTCAGGCCCTCAGAAAGAGGCAGGCCTGCCTGCTTGAACTTCTAAATCAACTTGGTAGCTTTCAAGTAGACAGGAATTGCATCCTACACTGCTTGCTGAATATCTACAGGAATGACACAATATCTGTTATTGCATGTCCTACACTTTTTGTTCCTGAACAAAAAGACTCCAGTAAAGTTCAGTTTCACTGCAAACCCTCCACATATCCCCCATACTTGTGTGCCTGTATTAAACTTGGAAGGAACGTGACAGAATACTGGTAAAAGTGAGTTTCACGGGCCATTTACTGGTGGCCTTGGAAAGCACCACTGAACAGCACCTGCAGTTCAGCAACAAAACCAGCCAGTGGTCTATGCAAAAGCTTTGTACAGCTGTGCTAAGAGCTGCTTGAAAGTTGGTTTACATTTGCATAGCTTCTAATTGCAGATACAACCGCCTTGTTACAGAGGCATCATAAAGACAGAAATTGTGTCTCAGCCACCAGAAACACGGTGTGAAACGATCTCTTTGAATTAATGACCTCTGCTGCTAGAAAACCGGGGTGCACAGCTTTCAGGAAGCCAACTGCAACATGCTCTATGCTCAGGTCTTGTTAAAAAGTTCAAGGCTTTCTCTAGCACGAGAGCAGGCTGTATACGCACTTTCTGTGGGTAGACAATTCCTTCTCGGAGAAAGGTGTTTTCACCAGCGTTTTTGTCAAAGAGACCCCAGTCCATCTTCAGGTCCCAAATGAGTGTATAGCAAGAGCTGATGAAATAGAAGATAATCCACAGGTAGAAGAACACTTGGGTGTCGCTGTGGTTTTTAGCTGCAAAAGAGAAGAACAGCACACTTCTGTACATCTCACAGCAGACTGCTTCTTAAAACTGCGATAAATTGGCTGACCCCACCAGGGAAAGTAACACCCCTTTTATTCACCTTCCTAGAAAACCAGGCTAGCTCACCTGAAACTAACCGAAAGCCTTACCAGGACAGGCTTTATACTGTAATTTAAATTGCACTTCAAACTCATTCAACGTTTTGCACCTGGAATTGAAATGTTTTTATTTTTATTTCCTACATTTCTATTTCCTACTCGTGGCAGACCTGTCATTCTAGCTCCGAACAGCAGGTGGAAGCTGAGGGCCGTGTTTCACAAAGGACACGGGCCTGTACAAAGGATAAAGCAAGGAGGCAATGCTCAGTTAGGAGGATTTTGTAAGAGTCTATTTGAGTTTGCACAAATGGGAACAGTAAATTAATGCTCTAACAGCTTGAAAGCAGATGGGCAGGACAGGAATTCCACTAGCAGAGGTTGTGGTGACAGGGAAAATAAGCAAAAAGAAGGCAATACATGTATGTATAAATCACAAAGAGTTCCGAATACCCTTACAGAGCTCTCTCCTGTGTGACACAGGACAGGGGGACCAAGGTTTGTTCACCTGTGGATATGTTTTTGTAGCTAAGCTGCTCCCTGCTGCCGCCTGAAAAGGCTGCGCTGCACTCCCAATCCAGCTGCATTTCCTTACATCAGTCAGCTGGGCAAAAAACAAACAGAGCTGATCACTTTGTTTGCTCTCCGTTAGCAAATCTGGGTCATAAAGTTCATGCAAACAGAAGATTAGGATGCTTCACCAGGCTGAGACACTGCATCTCTCTGCCGTTAGCAGTCTTTGCTGCGCAGCGGCTGAGATTGCCCGTCCTCCGATTCCTTCTAACAAAGCCAGCAGCACTTCCAGTACAAAAAGAAAAGCCAATAATGCCTCCAGTGCAAACCCGATGCCATACTGACAGCGTTGTTTTCCATATACGTGGCTTTAAACCAAGAGAATCCCTGAAGCTGATCTCACACGGAGCAACAGGACAATTTGCTCTCTCCTTCCCTTTCTGTTTTTTAACAGCCGTGATATAAACGTGCTGCAGCAGCCCGATAAAACTAATGGAGGTGAAAATGAGAGGCATCGTGTAAGAGCACATCCTTCCCATTACGCCTTTCAGGCTCCCTGGACACGACGTGCAGGATATAGGTCAAATACACACACACGTTCCCTTTTCAAAACACATCCCCTACAGCAAACCTATTAAAACCACTTATGCAGCAAAGCCTATCTGCAGCCAAGCTTCAAATCAGCAGAGGCAAAGGACGAGAGATTCGCTTCAGCTCTACGGCTTTGGCCAGCCTTCCTGCCTCCGTGCAAGGCCAGAGGTGTTTGCACTGCAGCCCTCCTCTCCCTGCAGCTCCGTCCGACCCCGCTGCCCAGCTACATTCATGCTGCTGCTAAAACCTCCTCTCCTGGTCCTTCTCAAAGAGCAGCTGCCCACAAAACAGGGCTCAGGCTGAGGCTCAGCAATTAGGGCTCTACTGCAAGATTTCATCCTCCCCCAGCAGCTCCTCCGAAGCCTCCCCTACGTCATTTCATACGGCAGAAAAGGCAGATGCTGATGTTCTGTGACTCAGACACTAAGGCTGTGCTTTCCTCTGTTATTTTTAGCTCATTAGATCTCCATGTTCAGCTCCCCTACCAGATCCCAAACAACAATTCAGAGAGGCAGTTAAGGGGTTAAGTGCTTTAAAACACCTAAAATGCTCCAAACTACCCCGGAGGCTGCATACTTCCTACAGGCAGCTTAGGCTTGAAGCTTGGCTCCTGCTGGTTTGTGGGTTTTGTTTGTTTGTTTTTAAGGACAGAACGAAAATAAATTGAAACTGCACACCTTCAGAGAGATGTGGGAGGCAGTGCTGGCAGGGCCATCCACAGCCATGCCCTGCAGTGCTGAAGGACAGCCAAGCATCGCTGGGATGCTCCTTTGGTGTTTTTCTGCTCTCTGTTCACAGAGGGGATGGATGGTCTGGCCCCAGAACATCGTCTCAAAGTATGTAAGGGCTAACATGTATGCAAACAGAGCTAAAAAAAAGTATGCTAAATTGGCAATTAGGAAGGTAATTAAAAACATTCATGCAGCTTAAGCCTAAACTGCCTGACAGGTGATCATGTGCAATTCCCAGAAGGAAGAGTGCCAGAAAGTAAAAGGCCCAGTAGAAATCTTGTGGCACCAACTTCACCAAACTCAAAAGGACGTGGTTGCTTCCCGTTAGGCTATCCTGGCTCCTGCTCCCTTTCTCAGCCCCGTGCCCCTCGCTCCTGCCTGTTTTCTCCCCCACCAGCTCTGCGCTGCATTCAGCTCCTTAAAAAACTCCATGACAAAACCAGATCACTCCCTGGTAAAACGCTCTCATCAGAACAAGCCGATTGTCTTCATCCTTGGCCTTTGAGTCCCTTCCTTTAATCACTTCTCTTCTTTTTCCTGCTGCCTGCAATTCTGCTTGATACCTTCCTTCCTTCTGTCCTCATTGGTATTCCGCTGGTGTACAGAAATATGTTACTGCTCTAGGCAAGCAATTATATCTCAATCTCCACTGGCTGGTCCTAGTGGCCCTCTTCAGCGCTGCTCAGGGGGTTAGGAAATCAAGGCATTCATATTCTGCCCAGAGGCTCCATCTCCTGCCTGCCCGTTCTGGAGGAGCAATACGTTGCTGTGTACACGTGTGATGATGTCAGGGTCTATTTAAACAGCAACTGTTTCATCCCGTTTTTTAATTCGTTTAATGACGTGCCAAAAATGATGTGCCAAAACCCACCAAAAACACCACTGGGGAGCATCACGGACGACAGGAGCGTGCTGGACACCTGGTAGGTCTCAGCACTTCCAAGAAGTGAAAAAGACCCAGCTTTGTAAAATGCCACGGCCTGCAGAAAGCCTTTTGCAGGACAACAGCCAGCCCACCGAGCTGGAGGAGCACAAGGACCTTTGTGCCAGAGGCTCCACCATCCCCACTCGCTGCAGACGATGGGAAGCAGCACGCTGCAGGGACCACTTGCAACCTTCAACACAGGCAGAATTGCCATGAGCATCCTCAGCTTACCCTGGAAAAGGCCATTCCGGCAGATACTCTGCACAAATACACCCACAAATTGCCCCAGAAGGTCAACGGGATGAATAATGGAAGGCTTCAACCTTTGAACTGGAGCTGTGAATGGCCACAGAGCAGGAAAACAGCCAGAGGCACGTGCAGCAGCAGAATTTACTGCCTGCAAAAATTGCTGATAGACAAATATCTTCGATACCAAGACCAGCCACAGGGGACACAGTATCTGACTAGCATTTTGAGAGAACAATACTGTGCAGAAATTATAGCCCCTTCCAAACACAGGCAAGAGAAAGGTCGCTTTCCATCAAAGATAGACAGCAAATACTATCCTGAATGCAGTTAATATTGACTTTACTTCCAAAGAATACTATCTGTTTACCCTGCTGAATTATTCCGGGGAATGTAAACACTATATAGTATTCAACACAGCAAAAATCAATGCCATGTATTATTGAAGACCTGGATAAGAGCACAATGGCCCTTGATAAGCACTCCTGGTGTGTCAGCCGCTGCAGCCGGCTGTGGTTTTTGCTGATGGTGAAAGCTGTGATAAAAGCTGTAAGGAGTCTGAGGTTATCAGGAAACATAGCAGGTAAGCCCTGCTACACGATACAACGCTGAGCGTGCCGGAGCAGCTCCGCCTCCAGCATGAATTAAAAACCTCTTGATCAAGGCACGCCAAAAACAGTCTCCTTTGATGGCTAGCCTTTTGATTAGCAGATTTAAGCAGAACCTAAACAACAAAAAAATAAATAAAAGATTTACAGCGTGCTGGATGAGAGATACTGTAAAAATTGAGCATGTACTTTCTGTTACCAGCGAGGCTGTGGGTGATGCGTGCCTCTGAACTCCATCCCAGCACACAAAGGGAGGAGCACGAAGGCTGGAAGTGACTTACCTCCCCGAGAACTGCCAGCAGAACGGCATCCCAAAGCACTTATCTCACAACCTTATGGCTTGAAACGCAGCCTGACTGATCCCTCGGTAATTACAGCTATTAATGAAGGGATAGCAGCAGTGCTCCCTTGCCCCCCAGCCTGCGTGCACCTCTATTTCATGCGGATCAATGGCAGAGACATGACACGGCAGTGGGCTTAATGCAGGAAAAAGGCAAATAACGGCAAGGAGCACAAGGACGCGCCATCGTGCGCTGACAGGCGTTGTCAAACACCAACCCTTTCGTATGAACAACCTTCTTAGACTCTGCAAACCTCTCCCACAGCCTCGAGGCACAATTTAAAGCAAAGTAGCAAAAGATAGCACGGTGAAGAGCTGTCAGGAGGCAACCTCTCGTTTCTTCTTCTATTTTAGATTCTGCGTTTGTAAAACAGGGAAATCCCTAAATCCTGTTTTCACTAAAAAAAAAGCTCTGCTAGTTTGCATTGTAGGAAATGCAACTGTGTCTGATTTAAAGACAGAGTAATTTCATTGCTTGTATCTCACAAGCAAAAGAAACGTGATTTAATTGCAAACTGGAGGATGCATTATCATTCCCTGCTGACAGATTTGATCAGATTCTTCCTCCAGCATCTTCTCTCACATTTGAGAAGTGATACTGGGGGGTGTTTTAACAGCTACCTTGAGGATGGGGTTTCCAATCTAACCATTAGCCAGTGGTCTCGCTAATAAGAATGTCTGCATTCACAATCAAAAATAATTTGTGTGATAATCAGGGCCTATATTGTCACTGGACAACATGGGGGTTGGGACACAATGTCATCTGGTACCTCTATAGTACTTTGAGATCCCCAAAGAGATTCCTTACAAATGCAAAAGTGATGAAAGAAAAAGAAAGATGGATTAGTGCACCTCCTAGATTTCTGCAGCACCAGAGACCTCCAGGTCTGCATTCATTTGGAAGGTAAATTGCTTGTGATGCAGTCAGTTGCTTCTTCTAA